GCTTCTAAAATTGAGAAAATTTCTTTCTATAAGCAGCGGAGACTATAAACGTATAAAGGATGGCAAGTACATCTTCGAGAAATGTCTTTGCTATAATTATAAATGAGTTGCAATCAAGTAAGCATCAGATGATTGCATAACGAGTTTCTACCTTGACTTGAATAGGTAGGCATTTCTATGGAGTATGGAGGTAAAAGATACCCATAAAAAGTTTCGACCAACACTTCTTTATCTATAACCCTGAACAAACTACTTAAAGTGTGAAGGAAGGGCTGTCACTGTGACAATGATGATCACAGTGATCACACATTAAATTATCACACAAGTTATATATACCCTTATTATAGTCAGGTGACTGACAACTGAACCAATTAAACCCAGTTCCCACACAGTTTACAGGGCGTTTATTAGCTTAATTGGGTGCCAAAACAATAACTGAGAAGTCCAATTAATATAAAGGTTCAGTCGTCCGGTATGCTGGTATGGGTATATGTAACTTCTCAAATAACCTTGTTAGGAGTCAGCCTGTCGAAAGTCATGTCAATTTGAACCCTATTAGACTCAATTAGTGACTTGAAATGCTGAGCAGTGAGCGACCGCAAAACTCTTTCATTTGCATTATCTGAATAGTAGTGATTATCTAGAATGAGCATATTATGTTGAATGCTACGAAGATTTAACTGACTACGGAATTCTGCGCGCGTATTTTCGGTTTATTGTTTTACGATTTAATTGAATTATAAAATGGGTACCAAACTTTCTTAAATCCCGAAACACAAACTTGATTTCCCTAAAATAATAATCAAGAAATATATTTTAATAATTTTAATAATGTGGCTTGATGGGCTGACATAACAATCTAGACTTATAGAGACTACTCAAGGTCAAGGGTGCCCATTTTGTAGACACAGCTACATTTTGCTACATCTTGCAACATCTTGCAACTCGAATCAATGCATAGATCAATCTAGTCGTCGTCTTTTGGTAACGTTGCTACAGTTTGATTATTTGTCATATGCCATCATGGATATGTGGAATCTTTTCGAAGAGGTAGGATTTCTTAAATCTTAACTATCTATTTCAATTTTCATAACTTCAACGGAAGAAATCGGCTTTAAGAGTACCTTTCGATTAGGGACCATTCTTTTATTTTGGAAGGATATAACCTCCGCCTAGAAAAAAAAACCTAAAAGACCTAAGATCCGGCTTTAAACGAACGTCTGCACCGTACCAATGAACAGCAAATCAGTTTTATAAGGGCTTCTCGCGTCGGGATGTAAATATATAGCTGATAAAACAAATGGGTTTATTTCGAAAAGGTTTGTGCAAAATATAAACTTTTTCGAAGTTTCTCAACAAGCAGTATTATAGCTATAATAACTCTCATAAATATTTCGCAATGCTAAAACGAATCGAATTTGACCGCGTACACAATATGAATAATAAAGCTTATTGAGTTTCAAGAAAGCTGAAAGAATACGAAATTTCAGGTCGGAGTTTTTGAATGGTATTAAAGACGTATGACTCTGTAAAATATTCCTACCTTTGTTCCTCGGATCCACAGCTCAATAATGAGCTCCTGTATACTTATGACGTGAAACTGGAACGTGACTTTTACATAATTTAACAAAAGAAAGATGTTTATTCTATCTTCTGGCGAACTAATACTACAGAGGTTTAGCCGTCAGCTATCTTTATGATCCAGGTGGCAGGAGTTCTTCGTCAGAAAGATAACCTTATTTCATGAGGTAGTGACTGATGGTATTATATAATATCATATATATATCATTATGATATATAATATTACTGTATACTGAGCAGAATTATTTGGACAGATCAGCTGTAAGTTATATTTTTATAACAACGAACAATAGTACAATAGTAAGACTCGTCAAATGTTTAAACGAAATTATGAAAGATTCGATGGTCAATTCTGGTAAATTTGTTTCTTCGGAAGCCAATATAAACAGTCATGTTATTGCTTACCCGTGACACAGAAAAATCTAAAAATTTGACATTAGAAAGATATACGAACTTCTTGTCAATATGTGACTATTATAAAAAGCTTAGTTGTAGTGAACGTACGGAACGTTCACTAAAAATAGTTTGTGAACGCGTTTGCTAAAAGATTTTAACGTTCGGAACATAAGGAACGTTAATTGCTATTATGAAATTAAAATACCGGACATAGCCCAATTATCCGGCAAAGTACTAGTGTTTCCATTGCCAGGCCTTCAGGGCCTTGAGGTATGTTACAAATACAAATGTTGTTTGATCTTGAGCCCCATTTCTGGATAGAAGTCGACTATTTATGCTCAATTCTCGAGCCGATAATAGTCTTGCTTAGATTTTCAGACAATAGTCTTAAGATCCCTGTTGGTTTCATCGGTGTAATTTATTACAAATATTATCTGTTCACCTTAAAGTTAGCTAATTTTGCTTTCCGCAATAGAACCATAAAAGTGATATGGTTAGTCTTTCCAACAAAAGGTGGCTCGAGCTCCATTCCCCCCTACATTCAGTAGGGTTTTGTGTTCACCCAGCTTATCAGGGATATGATCAGCACACGAATCAGGATGTCTGGAAGGAGTTTCTAGATGTCATGGACACGTGGTGTGACGGCGCAACAAAGAAGAAGATACTTTCGCAGCACACGTTCTACCGAGAGAAAAGAGGCGTATTCTCTACTGACGCTGCCTCAAGTTTTAGCCAAGATTCTGATGATCCAGTCTCTTGGTGGAGCAACTTCGGTTGCGAGGTATCCGAACTACAGAGTTTTGCAATGAAAGCGCTGTCGCAAGCGACATCAGCCTCACCCTGTGAGACGAATTGGAGCTTGTACGACTGGGTGTTAAACAAAAAAGAAACCGCCTCACAGTTGACAAGCAGCGAGACCTTATTTATGTTAACGCAAGTTTGCGTCTTATGAACAATTCACGAATTAAGGAGCAATAATTTCATTACTATTTGCTATACTAGTGACTTATTTTTATTCATTATTGTTTATTTACTGTCTAATTCAGACAACATGGTTTTATCTCATTGTATCCATCTAAAGTTAAAAACTATCGGAAAAATTATCAAAATATTGACTAACGTTCACTAACGTTCACAAACGTTCACTACAAAATGATTGGAACGTACGTTCAGTACGACTAAGTTCAGCGTTCACTACAACTAAGATAAAAAGGCATCTATGCCAGTTGGTAGGTTCTTCTTGGCTTCTTTTATGCTCCTTTTTTATTACCAACTATGAACTATCACGCGACTACGAAGGTATCGCGGCTATATCACTATATAAGTATTTATATACATTTATAAATGTAATCTTTATAATCTGTAAACCACTGCTGACAGTGCTGAACGTAGTGAACCCCTGTTACAGTACCAACCTCTATAGTATAGTATCTAATAGTATGAATCAGTATCATTATATCACTAGTTACTCCTTTATGATATCATTATATCACCAACTGTTTCCTGGTTCAAGCCACAGACGGCCAATGTGCAACCAAGCTTAGCTGTAATAGCAGGCTTTTGGACAGGTAGCTGTAATGTGTATGTTGATGACATAATTCGCGGTTTATTGCGTAAGGTTGTTATCGTATTTAGTAGCACGAAAGCGAAAGATGTGACCTGAATCGTTGCTAAAACTAAAAGCAAAAGCTGGGAGCCGAGCTGTAATATCTGGTTCTGAACTAAGGCTGGAAGTGCATCATGCAGGAGTTAGGCTCTGATTCTAGTCGTTCCAAAACTCGTCCAGTTCTTGAAGGAAAAGAAAAGTCGTGACTTGAAGAGTGAAATGGTAATTTTTGCGTTTACGTCATTATTTAATGACATAATTTATTATTCTCGAAACGATAAGCCTGAGATCACGTTTCATGATATTCACATTCTTAACTCGCACTTCTGAGATAAAAGGAATTATGTAAGCTTTAACTACTTCATAAGTAAGGTTTTGTTAGATTCGAAAGTTTGATGGTTTTGTTTGAATTTTGACGTTTTTTGGCTTTGTTGAGAGTATTTTTTGTAAATATAATATAATATATCATCAAGATAGCGGCTACCTTTTGAGAATCTATTTTCTCGATCTTTACCTGGATTCACATTGGCAGGTATTATACTATATAATAGTACCACGTGTTATTATACTATATAGCACGTGGTAGAAAATTATTCAGGGTGTATATTATTATATATAACTACCCTGAATCATTTTATACCACGTGTTCGCATGAGTAGTTTTAACTTTTATCTCATTTACAAATGTTTGATAGTTGGGGCCGAAGTGAAAGTCTCCACTCAGTGTATAAATCAAAATGTTGTCGACGTTAATCCGGCAACACGCCTTTGACATGTACGAGACGTTACAATAACTTCTTACATAACTCAATAAATGTAATAGATTTGTAGTGTTGTAATTAGTTTAAAACTCAACTATCAAATATGATCGACCCACTCACAAGAGCGAAAAAATATAACTATTTAGAATATTTGGTAGGGTTGCCCGTTCCGTCAGAGCGATTTTGGTGTTTATGTGCAATTGATAAGCTTCTCGCTGAATTCACGGCAATTTATCACGGTGAACTCATACCCAAAAATAATCTCATTCTTACTACCATGGCAACCTACCATGGCGACTCAGTTTGTTGTCATGTTAAGATCTCGTTGTCTTGTTAAGATCTCGCGACGATCTGACGTGTGGTTTCTGTTTGGTTTAAAATTGAATGTTATGCTTGAATGCACAATTAATTTCACCGTATATTCAACTTTAATTCAGCTGTTTGTGACGTGTTGTGACATTGTGAATAGTTGTGACATTGTGAATAGTTGCACACAGTTGTATTGAACTGCAAATTATGCTAGTATCAAACCATTTGCTACATCAAACCTTCAACTGTAGTGAAATATGAATGAGCACTGATTGTTCCAATTATTTCCAACTATTTCTCAATTACACACGCTTTTACAACACTCTTTGTTTCACACTTCCCATCACATTGCCCGCATTATTGTCCAAATGTGACGCTATAGAGAATAGAGATATAGTGGCAATTGCACAGCATGACGTAATCTCAATATCCGTGTGTTCTACCCACTGTCAGTGCTATATAGTGACTCGTTACCCTAGTGACGTCATCTTGCCATCCGTGAGGCGTGGACAATAGTAGGTACATAGGTGTTTCTTTGAGAACTACTTAAAGAGTTAAAGCTTTGTAACGGATCTTCTTGTAACGGATCTTCTTGTTTCTTTATTTTTTGATGCATCGTATATTTCGCGCTAGAAGTGTATGTCATTCGAATAATCAGCGCTTAAATAGTTAATTCTTTGAAGAGGTACTGTTTATGTAGTAATTAGTATAACTTGTTATTAGGTCACAGTACACTAACAGCCATTTCATTACCAACAATTTCACCATTTTAAATGTTCACATATTTCCTGTACAGAATGAGTTTAATTCAAACCAGGAGACTTATTTGCAAATAAAAAATCAGTTTATTATCCAAAAAAATAACTAACATTGTACTAACGCAAGCTACACCCTCCAGAGCACAGTAGCAGAAGGTAGTGTAGAACAGCAGTTAGAGGACAGCATGAATCCTCACCCCTACTACCCCAGTAACCCCCTGACCAACAGGTACATATTAATTTCTCTTTCTCTTTTTCTTTCTCTTTCGCTTTCTCTTTCTCTTTCTCTTTCTCTTTATCTATCCTCACCCCTACTACCCCAGTAACCCCCTGACCAACAGGTACATTGAGCGTGAGCTTGATAAACTGCGTTTGTGTGTCTGTCTCAGTCTATATTAATGTCTTTGTTCCGGTCTTTCTGTTTATCTTTTTGTTTCCAATTATGTTTCTCTTTCTGTCTCTGTTAATATTTCTCTTTCTGTTTCAACCCCTATACCCTTACCATCAGGTATACCCAGCTTGCTCTACTTCTCGTCTCTCAGTCTCAAGGACAAGTGAGTATTTTTTCAGGCATTTCTTTTGTTTTTAACCACCTTTACCACTAGGCAGTACCAACAACTTAAGCATTTATTTTCATATTGGCTAATGATATTTTACTCCTGCTCTAACCTTTTGAGTTTGACTGCCCCATGAATAGCTCTCTAACAGCCGGTTATAAGCCGACTATAAGCCAGTCAGCATTGTATCTATTTGCCGTAGATTTATTATTAATCTCTGATAATTTCTACAGAATCTATCAAGAGAGGAGGAGGAGAAGAGGAGAGTGCGAAGAGAAAGAAATAAAGTAGCTGCAACAAAGTGCAGGGAGAAAAGGAAGGCGCACAGTGTCTATGTTAGACACGAGTATGGATCTGTAAGTAGTTTCTCTTTCTCTTTCTCTTTCTCTTTCTCTTTCTCTTTCTCTTTCTCTTTCTCTTTCTCTTTCTCTTTCTCTTTCTCTTTCTCTTTCTCTTTCTCTTTCTCTTTCTCTTTCTCTTTCTCTTTCTCTTTCTCTTTCTCTTTCTCTTTCTCTTTCTCTTTCTCTTTCTCTTTCTCTTTCTCTTTCTCTTTCTCTTTCTCTTTCTCTTTCTCTTTCTCTTTCTCTTTCTCTTTCTCTTTCTCTTTCTATTTCTCTTTCTCTTTCTCTTTCTCTTTCTCTTTCTCTTTCTCTTTCTCTTTCTCTCTTTCTACTCCAACTTTACAGGTGACAGACACTACAAGGAGTTTAGAAGACCAGATCTCAGCTCTAAAAAGAGAACGAGATGAGTTAGTCAGGATACTGGGTACCCACGAGTGTAGCAACCCCAGATTGGAACAGACGGCTCATGGGAGCCAGATGTGTCAACAGCAACAGCAACAGCAGCAGCAGCAACAGCAGCAACAACAGCAGTCCCTTCAATATAACCATGCGTAAGTTTTTACCATTGATAATTTTGTTACCTGCAACTCAATTTGGTGGAAAGGTCTATGATTTAGATTCAAACACTATTTGAAATTATGTGGAAGGACTAAGCAATACGTCGTACGCATGTGATTTTCCGTAAAGTTTTGGCTCAAAAGCGAACAAAATATAGAGTTTATCTAACATTTCAAAATTTTTCAGACAAGCTCAGATGATGGGACCTTCGTTGACTGAAATGTTCATCAAATCAGAACCTAGCCACCACTATAACTAGCAAGACATTAACTATACTAGTTGGTTATACTTGCATGATACAGTATTAAACTTCTAGGAGCAGCAAATGTTACTGTCCGATGATATACATTATACATTAAGCTATACATTATACATTAAGATATAAACTTCCAGATGGACCCTTGATATACAAACTATGAACTGTTTTTTTTGAAACACTTGATTTTTTCAGCTTGAACCACATCATGAGGGGGTAAGCTACATAACTTTAGTAGTATCTTTATATCATTGAGACCATCTGAACAAAACTTCGTGAGGTATGTTACCATGATAAGGTGAGGTATGTTACCATAACGTGAGGTATGTGAGGTATGTGAGGTATGTCACCATGACAACCATTTTCACAAACTGCTACATCCCACAGCTCCACGCAAAAAAGTTTGTCCTGAAAATTTCGAATTTTGTTTCGAATTTCGAAAGATTCTTTAACAAATTGGGTTTTTTTCCAACAAAATTACTTTTTTTCAGCGAAAATCTTTTTTACCACATGCCTAAAAAACATAACAAATAACAAAATTAAAATCCTTATTAATATTTGAATAATTGTAAATTGGTGCTAGCTATCTCTACACGGGTTTCAATCGATTTAATCGGTCAGGTCAGGTAGTAATTTGCTTACAATCTTAATATGGTTGGTATTAAATACCTTTTGAATACAATGAACTACTAAAATGAAACGATTGTTGTTTAGTATTTGATATATTTATTTGAATAATGTTAATGTCAGTTCAGCTTAATTTGAGTTATAAATATTAGTGGCTTGAATTTACAGTTGGACACTGCATAAATTGCAGACCTTTTTGAGTTATGTTCTACAAAAGCATTCTGTTAAACAAATTATACTGATTTATTTTAAACTTCTGTGTTTTACAATTTAAACGATAGAGCGGAGAGCCTGAGCATTGCAGGATAAAAAGCATTAAATTTTATGATTAGCCTAAGGCTAAAATCTCGTTTCTCTTAAAACAGCATTAACCTAAAATAAACAGAATTAAAAATATAGTAAGTTTTCATCAACAAATAAACTGAATAATTTTCTTTGAGATTTTGATCATTGTTATAGGAGATACCAGAATATAATAATAAATTCCTAATATTCAATTTCAATAGAAACAGAACTAGTATAGGTGTAAAATTCATAATATTATGTTATTTTTTGTGTTATTTCATTTTCAGTTTGATTGAAATTTCTGGTGTATGTAAATTATTTTAATTCTGTTGTGCCTGAACCTTGAACAAAGTGTTTTATTGTTGTTTGCGAATAACCATCAATAGCTTCACAAGGCTTATAAACAAGTAAACATTGTCACTATAGCTCTATAGTTGAAGTCTATAGTGAAGTAAAATCGACAGCACGACTGTCGAGCTTTAGGCGAGCAAAGATTTAATAACATTTATTTAAAATTTCAACCAGCTTATTGGGCAAAGAAGCATTTTTTCCATTCACACCTTTTTTTGTAAAAAAGTAACAGTGATAGGTTACGAATAAATGTTTTTGCAGAAAAACGTGGAATTAATTGGAGAATGAGGAAGGTGGATTTAAATATGTCGTCAGTCCTTTATACTTCTGTCCGTTACCATTTAGTTTTCTTTTGCTTACAATTTCTTGAACAGATTGCAGACACAAATTAAATTCTACGGCAATTGAATTGAATTTCAAGTGTTCCCAGCCCGTATTTAATGCATAATTTATCAATATTTGATATTATTATTATGAAGTGAGCTGATTAGGGCTTATACTTAAAGTCATAGTGAATGGAAATCTAGCGTCCGCCAAAACGAAACAACGGGCGCAATTCTTGTTCATTGTTACCCTTCAATGTGCAACTTTAAAATGAAATACATTTGAAAGTTGCACACTTAAACGGCACAGCCTTTGCAAGAGTTGTAGTGCGATTAAGTGACACTTTTATCTTTTATATTCAGTTTCACAAGTGCCAACATGACACTACGCTAAAAAATCTACCCTACGCTCAAAATGATGTGATATTCATTAAGCAGTGATTGAAGGAATTGCGATAAAGTGTAACGGAGTATTGGTGGTAGAAATGAATTTTGCTGAAGCTCTTGAAGCAGAATGTTCATCCTCGGAGTGGCTGACTAGTAACACTAGTAACAGTATGATAACTAGTGACTAGTGGCTGACTAGTAACACTAGTAACAGTATGATAACTAGTGACTAGTGGCTGACTAGTAACACTAGTAACAGTATGATAACTAGTGACTAGTGGCTGACTAGTAACACTAGTAACAGTATGATAACTAGTGACTAGTGGCTGACTAGTAACACTAGTAACAGTATGATAACTAGTGACTAGTGGCTGACTAGTAACACTAGTAACAGTATGATAACTAGTGACTAGTGGCTGACTAGTAACACTAGTAACAGTATGATAACTAGTGACTAGTGGCTGACTAGTAACACTAGTAACAGTATGATAACTAGTGACTAGTGGCTGACTAGTAACACTAGTAACAGTATGATAACTAGTGACTAGTGGCTGACTAGTAACACTAGTAACAGTATGATAACTAGTGACTAGTGGCTGACTAGTAACACTAGTAACAGTATGATAACTAGTGACTAGTGGCTGACTAGTAACACTAGTAACAGTATGATAACTAGTGACTAGTGGCTTTTTAAATGGCCGAACTATCGGTATTACAGTGACAGACTTCTCCAAATTTTAAAAATTTTCGAAAAAGAAAAATATTTTTTTTTCTCGAGGAGGGAATATTTTTTTAAATTTTTGAAGGTGTACAATCTTATTCTTTTTGTCTATTTAAAAATAATATAAAATAAAATCGATGTTCGGAGCAAAAACGGTTTTGGTGTATCTCCCCTTAAGTGACACTTTTATCTTTTACATTCAGTTTCACAAGTGTAACAGTATGATAACTAGTGACTAGTGGCTGACTAGTAACACTAGTAACAGTATGATAACTAGTGACTAGTGGCTGACTAGTAACACTAGTAACAGTATGATAACTAGTGACTAGTGGCTGACTAGTAACACTAGTAACAGTATGATAACTAGTGACTAGTGGCTGACTAGTAACACTAGTAACAGTATGATAACTAGTGAGTAGTGGCTGACTAGTAACACTAGTAACAGTATGATAACTAGTGACTAGTGGCTTTTTAAATGGCCGAACTATCGGTATTACAGTGACAGACTTCTCCAAATTTTAAAAATTTTCGAAAAAGAAAAATATTTTTTTTTCTCGAGGAGGGAATATTTTTTTAAATTTTTGAAGGTGTACAATCTTATTCTTTTTGTCTATTTAAAAATAATATAAAATAAAATCGATGTTCGGAGCAAAAACGGTTTTGGTGTATCTCCCCTTAAGTGACACTTTTATCTTTTACATTCAGTTTCACAAGTGTAACAGTATGATAACTAGTGACTAGTGGCTGACTAGTAACACTAGTAACAGTATGATAACTAGTGACTAGTGGCTGACTAGTAACACTAGTAACAGTATGATAACTAGTGACTAGTGGCTGACTAGTAACACTAGTAACAGTATGATAACTAGTGACTAGTGGCTGACTAGTATAACAGTAAGGTTCATCAAGTTTAATCCTGAATGGGGTACATCAGTGGGTATTAGAGGTGGGAATTAATGTGTTAATACTATCATTATATCGGACCTGTCGTGATATCATGAATAGCTTAGGTTCCACCAGGATCTGGATAGCTTAGGTTCCACCAGGATCTGGAAGTCCTCAGGATCTGGTAGTCCTCGGGATGTGATCTAAGTAATTTTAGAATTTTAGATTATTATATCTTTGTATTTTTCTATATTTGTATAATAAATATATTTATGCAGTGGATGGTTGAGGGGGTTTTAAGCACAGGTCACTCTCAAATCCAAAAATAAGCAGTGGCTTTCAGCACTTGAAACCTCCTCAAGCCGCCACTGATTTATTTATTATTGATTGTTTGATTGTGACATACAAATAAATAATTGTTTTATTAAATAATAATTGCTTTATTAAATAATAATTGTTTTATTAGAATACCACTAGAATAAATACAATAACCACGACCGATGATGCAACTTAGATTCCAACCGACACAATCATTTCGACAAGTTTTGAATTCTAATTGCAATTTGCATACACATAGACAATAAATTACATAATGTCCTAAAGATTTCACCAAACATTTATGCACAGCTCTATAACCATGAAATATTCGAAGAATTCACGATAGGAATTTATACTACCTCATGAGCTAATAAGCTAATAGAAATTAAATGTCATAACTGCATTGCTCCACGTGACCAGAATACAGTTCTCTGATTAGTCAATTTATATCACGTGACCAGAATACAGCTTTCTGATTGGTTAGTCGTGTCATAACTGCATTGCTCCACAAACATCATGCGTTCCAGACCCCAAAGCAAATCTGTATCAAAAGTAGGGCTGTAATTACTAGTGATACAGTGAATAATCTCGGTAATACGTAGTCTGACGCAACCCTAATCACATCGCAGTCGGGAGCTCATGTAGCGAATTGCTATTAGTTAACTATGACAGTAATAACCAGAGAGGTGTCGGTTTAACAGTCTGTTGCAAGAGTATATCCCAATTCTATTATAGTGGGGACATAGACCGTCTAATAGAGCTCTTCCTCCCGCGGGAAGTGCGTGTCACGTGATTGGTTCGTGTCACGTGATGTGTTAAGTTGGTGACTTCATGCAGTGACGTCACGTGTTAGTGACGTCATTAGATACACGTGCTGTGACTTGAGGAAGTGATGAAATGGGTTACAGCTGTCTGCTTTTACATTATAGCTGGAGGTGAATCTGATTACCAAAAAAAACGCAGTCAACGAAAGGCCCTGATAACTTTATTAATGTCATTTTTAATTTATTACTGATGCACTCGTTGTGTTGTATAAATCCCCCTCCTCCCCCCTCCTCCCCCTCCTCCCCCTCCTCCTCATCATCCTCCTCATCATCCTCCTCATCATCCTCCTCATCATCCTCCTCCTCCTCCTCCTCCTCCTCCTCCTCCTCCTCCTCCTCCTCCTCCTCCTCCTCCTCCTCCTCCTCCTCCTCCTCCTCCTCCTCCTCCTCCTCCTCCTCCTCCTCCTCCTCCTCCTCCTCCTCCTCCTCCTCCTCCTCCTCCTCCTCCTCCTCCTCCTCCTCCTCCTCCTCCTCCTCCTCCTCCTCCTCCTCCTCCTCCTCCTCCTCCTCCTCCTCCTCCTCCTCCTCCTCCTCCTCCTCCTCCTCCTCCTCCTCCTCCTCCTCCTCCTCCTCCTCCTCCTCCTCCTCCTCCTCCTCCTCCTCCTCCTCCTCCTCCTCCTCCTCCTCCTCCTCCTCCTCCTCCTCCTCCTCCTCCTCCTCCTCCTCCTCCTCCTCCTCCTCCTCCTCCTCCTCCTCCTCCTCCTCCTCCTCCTCCTCCTCCTCCTCCTCCTCCTCCTCCTCCTCCTCCTCCTCCTCCTCCTCCTCCTCCTCCTCCCTCCTCCTCCTCCTCCTCCTCCTCCTCCTCCTCCTCCTCCTCCTCCTCCTCCTCCTCCTCCTCCTCCTCCTCCTCCTCCTCCTCCTCCTCCTCCTCCTCTTCCTCCTCCTGCAGACTATACCCAGCTGAAGGCAATAAATAGAGCATCTCAATGTCAGAGGCTGCTGACTAGACTGGTTACAAATTAACAATTTCCCCTGTTACAATGCAGACTACTTTCCCCAGGATTCACAGGGTAACACGACTTCCTTGGAACCAAGCCAATGATAATGAGATTAGCCTTCAGGGATAGGTCTGACTAGTCGCCCCTATTAGAGTCTGTCATCATGACAGTTTTCATCCCGACTTGTTTCGTCTACGCGGGTACATCTCTTTATTATATCTTGGGATCCCCTTTTTCTTTTTGTCTCTGTTTTCTGATACTGTTAGGCTCGATTGTTTCCGGGGACCAGTAACCACCGCATGTGACATTTCCTGATATTTTTATTCTGATTCGTTTCAATACTCATCTGCAGTCTGTGCCGCATCGAATAGTTGTAGTTTACTTGTAGTTTACTTGTCTACTTGTAGTTTACCCTGCAGGTACCACCCGTACTTACACTCACAATTGTGTTGGATCATTTTCCGATACGAGATTGGGGACGGGTTCTATGACCAAACCAAACTGTAGTTTACTTGTCAACTTTTAGTTTACTTGTTAAATCGATATCGTTCACTTTGGACCTTCTCATTTTCTCCAATCTCCGAATATTCTGCAACTATGACTGCGTGAACGCACAAATCTCATTTTATCCAAGCTTGGATTAAACACTTTCCTTACTTTTTTACTAACGATAATAAAAACCCAACCCAGAGAGACCACTACAGTGTCCAATATCCGGCTTACTCTGACATATCATATTAGGAGAGAAGCAGCTCCGGATCTGACACATACCATATATGTACACATTACCTCCTAGCAGACGCGTTAAAACATTGCTACAAACTCAGCTGAGTGGTATCCAGGATCCGGGGATCCTGGTTAGGAAGGAGGGGTCTCATCTGACCAGGGTAGTTCTCCTCCAGTACCAGCACTTGCCAGGTTCTGAAGGAGGGGTCTCATCTGACCAGGGTAGTTCTCTTCCAGTACCAGCACTTGGCAGGTGTCTGTTTTGTTAACTCCCGGAGAGAGGGGGAGGAGCCGGGAGGAGTGCTGTGTCCGTTTGGCAGGCGTCTGTTTGGTTTGGACAATGAGAGCTCTCCCCTGGGATGCTACCACCAGGGTAGTTCTCCTCTAATACCAGCACTTGGCAGAGCACTTGGCAGGTGTCTGTTTGATTAGAGGGGCAGTACCGGGGTAGGGTACTGTAACTTCTGTTTGGTTAACAGGTAGCTTCTCCGGGAGGGTGAGGGAAGGAGCAGTGAGGGAGATGAGTAGTGCCAGCTCTGCTCTGTGAGTTCTCCTCCTCCTCCTCCTCGTGTGTCCGGTCTGTTCCGTAGTTACCACCAGGACAGTGAGGGAGAGGATCGAGCAGTGCCAGCTCTGCTCTGCTCTGCACTGTTTTCTCCTCCTCCTCCTCCTCCTCCTCCTCCTCCTTCTCCTCATGTGTCCGGTCTGTTTCGTACCACCAGGACGGTGAGGGAGAGGAGCAGTGCCAGCTCTGTGTGCCTGCTCTGTACTGCTCTGTGTGTTCTCCTCCTCCTCCTCCTTCTCCTCATGTGTCTGTTTCGTAGTTTCCCCCGGGACAGTTGGAGGAGGATCGAGCAGTGCCAGGTCTCATTTTCTCCTCTACCTCTACACCTCTACACCTCAACACTGAAAATTCTGCAATTTTGTCCGGTTTGTTTGGTAGTTTCCCCGCTGTCCAGGGTAAATAGGGAGCGTTGTAAAGTAAAAATGACGTTCTGAGGCTGGATGATAACTGCGATTATCACAGCTGTGTCTGTTTCCCTTCCTTTTAAGACACTCAATTGTCTAGACAGTTAATGCACTGACCGCCTCACAATGAGGAGACGTTATAATCCACCTATATAGTTACATTTACTTGATACATTTTATACTGTGATATACACTTGAAACTCAATTTTTGATTTAGTGTAAATGTCGCTATCCGTTGCACCGGCAGTCTGTTCAACTCGAAAGGGTGGAACTACGTTTAATAACTTCTACAGGACTCTAAACTATCAGTTTCGCGTCCATGTTTTATTCAACGAGATAAAAAACACCCTCAATCTATAGAGTTCAAGGAGCTGAAGCAGCATTCATTATCATTACAAAAGTAATTGTTAGCGGTAAGATAGTTGACATACCTACGTCAATAGTGAAAGTATTGTAACGTGACGGCTGTTTCTCTTGGCGTTATTGGCCATACTCTGGAGGGGTTAGTTTGTCAGGCCAAATTATGTTTATACCTCCGGTATTAGTCTGTATTTTTGAACGAAGCTTATAAATATCGTTTGCCGTAGTTTTAGGACACAAATTTTCATTCTTTTAGTCATTCATCAGTTTCAAATCTCTCTGTCCTATTATTTTACCGGCTGCACATTTTCGATAATAAGGTAAATTTACAAATCAGTAAATTGTTACAATCCTACAATCCTGATCAAGGCACAACCAGTCCTCCTCCTCCTCCTCCGCATAACCTCACCTCACTTTAAACAAACGAGACCTGTTAGTGGTTGACTAGCAATAGTTAGACATGTTGCAGACTAGCTAGATAGTATCCCGCCACCGCTCCGGACTGTTCCGGAAGTAGCGTCTATCTGCCCTGCCTGCCACAACACCCCGCCGCTTCTCCCCCGGCATTTGTAGAGGCGTGACTTGTTGCTGTAGGTTCGATTTAGCTGGAGTGGTAGCTGAGCCCACTGCCCACTTGTCGGGGGAGGTACACGTGCACGCGGCTTGACTCCAGGTAAAGTTATGTCCTGGAGGTGTACCTCGGTTACCATGTTCAGCTCTGGAGTGTACCACACTGTGCCAGCTTGTCTGGGGACTGAAATCCATTTCGGGGAAGGGTGTGGGTGGGGGGAAATGCTCTAACGTCATTTTGTAATGGGGGGTTCGTCATGTTGGGAGTCCCGGTCCACCCTTTCTGAAGTTATCGTTAAGTAGGTTAAGTCACAAGTTGTTAAGTACGGGCGGTGTGAGCTGTTAAATACCCCCACTACACAGTGAAACTATTTCCTTTCCATTTTCAGTTACTTTCGTTAAGAACTTTTAGTGTTAGTTGCTTTGTCGTTTAATTCCGTCGAATTTCGTGCTCGTAAAATATTACAGCTTGTAATTAACTGAGTAATTTTATGAACCGAAATCAGCGAGTTTAGAATAACCTATTTTTCATTATCACCGGAACTAATAAGTCGATTCATTATTCTTCAAACGTGACCTAGAGAACAAACATGAATGGCAGTCACGTCGTCACGAGTCGATATTGAACATCAAGAAAGTAATTTTACGACATGTTGATGTAACAATTAAAATTATTGTAACTATGTTCATATCCCCTCAGAATCTAGAAATGGAGTTGCTGTCTTTACTCGTGTTTATTTTTGCAGCAGTGGGACCACAGATCGATGCCAGACCACATTTTTCAAACAAAGTTTCGAATTCGACTCAAAAGAGTCAAAGCAGGTAACATTCTGGTTTTTATGATTTTTAAGTATTTTTCCCGATCAGGTTCATGAACTAACAACCATTCGTAACCTTCCACTTTTACTTTTTTTTTAAGGTGGATGGAAAAAAATCTTTTATTCGAAATCACCTGCCAAGATATCGAAATTGGATAATTAAAACGTTCGGCTTTTCATCACAACAATAGAATGAACTCGTGATCGTGATTCCTCGCCTTTCTGGTCGGACAGATAACAGCCAATCTCGTTACTAACAATAGACTGAAACTTACTAAAAATAGCTAATGAACTGATTTCTCCCCTTTCCGGACTTCGGTCGGCCTGTTAACAACCAATCTTGTAATTACTAACCCGTCTTGTCACTCACCAATCTTTCACTTTCAGTGGAAGTATATTAGAACAGCTTATCCGAGATAAGATCAACCTGCCAGAAGTGCCTAGACCTATACCTACAAGATTTGTCATCAAATGGTAAGCCGCTTTGATATCCTCCTCCTCATCTCATATCAATCAGCTGGACTTAGAATACCCTTGTTAAACGTAAATTCAGACGGGTTAATTGAAAGGAAATTACCAAGGGTTTCAAACAATGGACTTCTCCCCTTCCGCCGCTCCTCATCATGTGATACAATTTCATCCAATCACAGAGCAGCACTAAGTTCGAAGGGGCTATGAATCCTGGTTCCATTCAGCCGCCGCTCTTTTTTAATCCTCCTCCTCTTTTGATATCCTCGTCCTCTTCCTTTTGATTTCAATCCTGGTTCTAGCGCGGGGGCGGGATATCAGGATCGGATCTATAGCGGGGCGGGGTGAAATAGCTGACAAGCCCCTGTTAACTTTGTGTTGTTGTGTGATTGGGTGAAATGTTAATACGTGATGTGATTGTAGTTTGCCGCGAGTAGGTACTTTGAGGAACTATGAATGAGTCTTTCACCGTCCTTTCATGGCCCATCCTGCTTTACTTTTACTTTGACGGAACTGATCTATTAAGCTTTGACACGTCAGACTTATAACAATAAAATACTCTTGTAAAATTCAGACTAATTGAAGGGAAATTGTTTTGTCTCAGGTATGTAAAGGAGACATGGGAGAAGATCAGCCGGAAAAATACTCGATTTGGAGAGAAAGTGGACGCTATAAGATTCAGCAACGCTTTAGGTGAGTTTATGTGAGTTTATGTGAGTTTATGTGAGTTTATGTGAGTTTATGTGAGTTTATGTGAGTTTATGTGAGTTTATGTGAGTTTATGTGAGTTTATGGGAGTTTATGTGAGTTTATGGGAGTTTATGTGAGTTTATGTGAGTTTTTGTGAGTTTATGTGAGTTTATGTGAGTTTATGGGAGTTTATGTGAGTTCATGTGAGTTCATGTGAGTTTATGTGAGTTCACGTGAGTTTATGGGAGTTAATGGGAGTTTATGGGCGTTAATGGGAGTTTATGGGAGTTTATGTGAGTTTATGGGAGTTTATGGGAGTTTATGTGAGTTTAAGGGAGTTTATGGGAGTTTATGGGAGTTTATGGGAGTTTATGTGAGTTTATGGGAGTTTATGTGATTTTATGTGAGTTTATGGGAGTTTATGTGAGTTCATGTGAGCTCATGTGAGTTCATGTGAGTTCAAGGTGATGAATGCAAGAATGATTGCTCGGTGAGTACTTTAGAATGGACATTGTTTATAGTTGTTTTTGCACAGAAAAAGTACCTTTTCACTCATTATAATAACCTCAACTCACAAAATTCAGTCTGATAAATATAATATTTGTCGGATGTGATCGTGTTGTGGCGGATAGAACGCAGCCAAGTGTGTGACTAGTGATTGCTTGCGGAGGTCACCTGTCACCGTGGTGTCATCTTCTCAACCGTCTGACTACTACTTTACCGTCTGACTGCAGCTATTATAGAGTTATATCATCTCGTTATCGTCTCGTCTAATTCACACAGTAAATATGCAGATAATTTCAGACTCTGTTGTTAAACATCTGACTTCCTTTTTCTCTCATATTTTGATATAGAGTTATTAAAATTTATTAGTGCTGTAACTAGGTCAGAACTAAATCTTATATTTTCCATACAATAACCCTCGAGACTCACAGCGATCCCTGAGAGTCTGCATATATAGTTATGGAGTAATAATTTAGATCTTTAGATACCCAACTTCGACCCAACTTCCTCAACAACACAGCAGACTGAAGTCTGAACCACCAGATCATAGATTCATCAGACATTATCAGTGTAATATGTGCTGGCGATCAAAGGACAAAAGTTTTGACACAACCATTCATCATGGATAGGCTCTGAACTATTTAATAAAGATTTTAATAAAATAATAAAATTTTTAAAAACCGCGGTGCTTTACCTGCGGGACAGCCATTCAAAACATCTCATAATCAGGTTTTAATAACATGCTGATAAACCAAATCACTATTATTCAAGATTTACATAATAACCAATTTCAGGTCACTCAAAACAAGACACCACGTATAAGCTAATCTACACATTTGACCTTTCTGGTATCCACGACAGATACAAAGAGATATTCGGACATGATCTTTATTTTAGGTGAGTGGATTAATTAATTAATTAGTTAATTAAAGCTAATTAGTTAATTAAAGCAGGCATTATGCTTGGATAGGTTGAATTGTTAATTTGTTATGACAATGTTCTTGAGCAAGGGTACATGAAAAAGTAGAGCAGAATTTAAACTAATGTTATTTCTATCAATTCATCAACAATAGTACATTGTGATTTACAAGGATGTCACAATTCAGAACATGTGATTTACAAGGCTATCACTTCATAACATGGATTGTACATGTGATTTACAAGGCTGTCACACTAACTATACTAGCAGAATTTAATTCGCGTTTTTGACACAATTTGGGAGTCCAAATTTTGGGTACTAAAATTTTTATTCCTTGGTCAATTTTTTATTTTTTCATGCTAATTTGAAGGCCGCATTAAAGTTGATGCCGTGGTGTCAGTAAAATGGCACGGATCCACCCATATATATATATATATATATATATCGTCTCGCTTTATATATGTAAAATACTTCAGAGCACCAACAAAGATCCTGAAAGACCACGGTAGCCCCGCTTATTTCCACGTGTCTGTGTGGGAGGCTGGAGGAAGGTTGCTTAACTCAAGTGTACTGGCTCCAGTCACTGGGAATGATTACAGGATTGTTATAGACAGGCTGAGGTAATTATTTAATTAACTAATTAACCTAATTAACTAAGGTTACAGATTACCAATTGAAGCCTGCTTACATTAGTCAACAATTGATAGTCGCTATGATATAAAAGAGATTATAGATATAACCTTAACTTTCTTACTATTCAATTTACTTATTATCTGATTAACTAATTAACTAATTAACTAATTATATAATTAACTTATTATATAATTATATAATTAACTAATTATCAGCGGATTAGAGTATCCTACTCAGAACAAGATAGATTTGGTGGTTGATATGGGTTGTGAAGTACACAGTATTGATAAACAGACTGACAGGTAATTATTATCAAACCTTTAGATTTTACATCCTCTCCAAACCCAGGATGTACTACAAAAAGAATTTGTTATAAATTTGTATGAATGAAAAGCATTAATATATAGTAATTATTATCAAATCTTTTACATCCTCTTATCTTCATAACTTCAAATTTTATGTTCTATTATTTTCAAAACTTCAATGCTCTTATATCATTTTACTTTATCCTTACAAACTCAGAAGTTCGATTAATAGCAATAGCAGAACAATATTTGATTAATAGCAATAGCAGAATTGCTATTTAGATAACTAAAGTTGCACAACTTTACACAAATCGATATTAGAATTGTAATTTATAAGTGAAGGTATCAAATGGTTCAAACAATGTGTTACATTTGTAACAAGTTTTTACGACAGGAGTAACGCGTCTATCGCGACGTACGGTTACATGCCCCCCAAGAAACTGCACTATCAGCACTTCTTGAGATCCCGGAGGTGAGTCAACTAATTACTAACTAATTAACTAATTATAAGTTATCAGAGAAATATTTAATCAACTCCTCATTGTAAGTTAAAATTATTCGGTTAGCATCGTTATATAAGTTATTAATAATTTTGTTGTTTACATTCTTCTGATTAGGATTATCTAAACGTAACGTTACGCTCAATATTCACCTCGGCATAAATCTCAAAAACTCAAAATTACTCAATCTAAACTAAATTAATCATTAATGGCCCAATAGAAATAAAAATAAAAATTATTTCAACAACATATTTAAAATAATTATAAACTATAACCATGTTCCAGGAGAGGAATTTAATTCTCCCTTTGAATCAATGAAGCTAGATGATTTGTTGTAAATACTGAGATCAAACTATCAATTTACAGGCTATCGTCAAACATGTTGCAAGGCGTCATCTTCAGTGACATAAGCCTAAAAATTGTAAAAAGTTAGTAAAATCCAAAATTCCTTTGTTGCAGGAACAAATTCAGACTAACAAGAAGTGTTGGGGAGGAGGAGCCAGGAGCTTGCTGCTCACTACACCCGCACAAGCAACTACTTGGTGACAAACACGTGGGGGCCCGGGAGACGGTACTTATGCCAATATTTGTTACTGACTACTTCTGTCGTATTAATAAGGTACTTTTAACTTTATTTTACTTCTTTTAATAAGGTACTTTATTTTAATTTTTTTAATAATGTACTTTATTTTACTTTTTTTGATAAGGTACTTTATTTTACTTTTTAACGATATTTCATTTGACTTTTAAATTTAACAGAAAGCCGATTATTTAATTGATAGCATCATGTTCTCTTGATACCTAGCCGTGTAAATAAATCCAGATAAACACAAAAAAGAACTAAAGTTGCACGTCAATGATTAATAAATATTGATAATATCACCAGGGGTATAGGCGCCAATACACCAAATGTAAAACAGTTTCGGAACCAGAAGTCACCTCTGTCCTTTACTACAACTCACACTCTGGACAGGTATGCAACTCTCGTAAATTTGCTCCTTCATAATAAAATCATTATAATTTTTTACTCGTGTATTTTAAATTTGATGTTTTCTTCCTTCAAGAGTTAGTTAGTTTTCTTCCTTCAAGAGTTAGTTAGTTACTCGTTTCTTAGAGTCCAGATTCCAACAAAGTGCCTTGTGACGTTCTAGGCTTAAAATTGGCAAAAATGTAGCTGTTATCTAGAGGACTAGAGTGCCATTATTTCAGGTTGGAGTAAGACCGGTAACAAGAAACGTTGGGAGAAGCTGCTACTGCGAATGAGTGCTCCTTTATCAAATCACTCACCAAACTGAAACGTTAAGTCCTGAAGCAGCAGTTTAGAAAAGACAAGTGATTGCGTAACTAGGAAGTAGGAACTACAGAACGTTTCTAGCACGTGTCTACTGTCTAGCACGTGTCTAGCACGTGTCTAGCACGTGTCTACTGTCTAGCACGTTGCTAGCAAGTTTCTAGCACGTGTTTAGCACGTGTCTAGCACGTGTCTAGCACGTGTCTAGCACGTGTCTAGCACGTGTCTAGCACGTGTCTAGCACGTGTCTAGCACGTGCGTAAGAGTAGCGAGCAAGCTGATTTGTCTCCAGATTGATAAGACTGTCATAGGTTTAGGGATTTGTTCTTGATGTACAAACTTAGAAATAGACGACGATGTAGAATAATTGATAAGCATATATTTTAGACCTTGTGCTGCCGGATTATAGCAATTTCTAGTGGCTATAATGATTAAAACAAAATACCTTATCGGCAATCCGCAATCGATAGAAAAATAATCTTTGGAATGCTATACTGCAAACGTTTTAATTTCAAAAACATGAACTTCATAAACGTGTGTCTCAAAGCTAAATTGAATTACAAAAATTGTAATTAACTTCAACAAAGATTGCCGATAAGGTATCAGACGGTTAATTCTCAGCTTCCCTTACTGATGGGTCTGATTCATACCCATCAGTAAGGGAACCTGAGAATCGACTGGTTGATATTTTAAATTCTAGTCATTCTTCAACGAAATTTATTTGTGTAATTGTTACCGAGAAATAACCTTTCGGACACGCCGTGGTGTTACCACCTACTGTTGTTAAACCAAATAACCGTTTACAGGCGTCACTAAATCGTATTAAATGCTTTCTGTTATTCAATAATGCAGATTTTTTATAAAACCAGTAACAAGTTGTGCTGGTCAACAATTGTGCTGATCAACAATTGTGCTGATCAACAATTGACGCTAGTCACCAATTGACGCTGGTCAACAATTGTGGATCTTATTCTGAACAGTAAGTTGTCACACCACGGTGATCATTGAATCTCTAAAAGTTAAGTTGAGCATGGCATGTAATGCAGGAAGTGGTATAATTTACTTTGTTTGATCCCGCAATGTGGAACTGAATTAATGTTTGCAAAATTATTGAATGATTTTCAGATGAAATAAAGTTATTGTATAATGTAGAGTTATAGTATTTGGAGTCGAGATATCAAACAACTTCGTTTATCTTTTGTTTATTATGGAAATAAATATTATGATAAGCAGCAAGTATTTTAATCACACTCTCCTTCAGAAGCAATAAACAACACATTTAACGCATGACCGACAAGAAATATATCCATTACAAACATAATTCATATATAAATATATATATATATATATATATAAATATATAATTATATATGTATATTTATATATATCATTCATAAGTTCATAGTTCATACTGATAGTGACGTGACGGAAAAAACTTCGTCAGAATAATTCTCGAAACTAATTCTCTAAAGATGATTTGCAAAATACAAAACTGTGTACGTGTCCTGCAAATGGCAGCATACAGGTTAGCCTAATTACACATACAAGACAAAAACGAGCGATGCAATGCCAGCAAAAGCAACTCGTGCAGCACTTGACTTGGAATCTTCTTCAGACCCCGCGGAAGCATTGCAGTTGTCACCATCACAGACTTCCTGAAAAAAAAATGAATGTTAATCGTTAATGATAGGCGAATAGTTTTCATAATTTCTTCTTCAGAAATATGATGCTAAACTTGATTGCGGGTAAAGCTTAAATATATTAATTAAATTCCGTGTCTCTATTATAATTTAAAGCAGTATAAAATTAAGAAACAAAAACAAATACTCTCATGAAATTACCCGTACCTTGTTACAAGCAGTTCGTCTCTCATCAGTGAAGATGCTGCACTTGATGACCGGGGCTTCATTAGGGTCCGTAACGTCACACTGTCTCGTTATTAGCCCTAACTCTTCTTCACCGTCCTTCACCCTAATCAGCGATAAAATGGCGTTATCTATAGCACTAAGAGCTTCTGTTTTCTTGGGTACATTTTTATTGATCCCGTTTGATGCGGCAAGGAAAAGGCTCTTATCAGGAAATGATAATTCCTTTGCGACTCATAAATAGTAATTTTATTTTCAATTTGATAACTGAATGATAAGCTTTGTCTGCACTGTATCTCTAAAATATACAGAACTCCCATTGACATTCAAATTGTTTTAATTTTATATCTAGCGAGATATGCTTTTTAAATAGGGATGTGTGTGATGCAGGCCACTCCAACGACTAGGAGGATACCTTTTCATGTAGCACGTATGTATGTTAATCAATATAAATTAATATAAATTAACATAAATTATATGCTTCTAAATAATTACAGCTCTTGAAACACGGCCAAAACAAATTTGTCAACACCTTTACGATTACAACGTCTTACTAAAACTAAAACTGAAAAAAATAAAAGTTCTTAAGAGTCTAGTTTGACAAGCAGTACCTCAAGGAGACCGAGGTGCACTGTTTCACCCCATCAGGGCAGATCGAGGTAGATTCTGCGCTGCATTCCACCTGATCTTAATTCAGATATTAGTGTTAGCTTCAGATGGATTATTATTCGATGGGTACAAGTAATTGTCGACAGGGTTTACTATCGTAAGGATTTATATTTCCTTTATACTAGGCGTCCGAATATTAATAGTCGGCTAAATTTAAACAAATTTTAGGGCCTACGAAAAATTTTCCACCGGTATTTTGTCGAGCTGAACAATGAACATCCAGCAAACTTTGCACAACCCCAATTTGCTTGAATCTCAAAGATGGCGTGCTGGTTCTAATCCGACGTGTCAAAGTTTCTTCAGCTAATGAGTTCTGCCGAATTAAAGGTTAATACTTGCTACACGTTGCACACCTCTGGTGCCGGCGCGATCAAAAGGGGTTGCAGCGTGTGTCAAGTTAATACTGGATCTGGATGAGTCATTTTAGGGCTAATGAAATAATTTCCACCTTTATTTTGTCGAGCTGATTGTCTTGCACCCTTTATTTAACGAACAAAATATCAATATTATAAAGTTTTAACTCACTTTTAATGTTGAACTTGGTAACGAGGTCCATGTAGAGATCAGTTACCCTCACCTCATCTCCAGAATACCGCACCTTCTCTCTACACGTGCTACATGACAAGGAGGACACCACGGCTGGTAGTATGGTCAGGACAAATAGTGAAACTAACATCCTGCTGGTAGTATGGTCAGGACAAATAGTGAAACTAACATCCTGCTCAATCAGGGACTGGTTAGAGACTATTTAGGGTGCTACTTACTGGAGGCACTGGTTAGTTTTCTTGGTATTCTTAGTGAGATTTATGTAGTGATACGTTTTGAATTAGCTATGAGCAAATGACTTAAAATTGTATTAAAACTTTTATAAGGCACTCATTCAAATTAAAATGAAAACTTTTTCAAACAACTATAATAAATCCTGACAAATCGCTCAATTTCACAGCACTGATAATGAAAACTGTGCAATGCCGCTAACTGCGTTTATTTGATAAAGTTAGTAGGTAGTTGAGCGTTTCCTGTTAACCATATTATATGTGATTATTGTTGCCACGCTGTAAATATTGTTGCTGGGATTCTACTACACCTGGTTTCAGTTTTCCATGGCTTCCATATTAAATTTACTTCAGCTTATTAAAAATCGTGGGATTCTGTGGCTGTAACTCCGCTTTCCGTCAGTTGTCTCAGAGACATTAGAAAGCTATTCACTTACTGTCCAACGAAGTTAGCAGTATAAGTTAGGGGCAAGATGGCTGGACAGATTTGATGTATATGCCCTTAACATTATCCAAATTAAAGATCTTAAAACGGCACGTTACCGAGTCCTATTCAGTTATTAGAACCAGCATTAGAAACTCCTAAGTAGATATTATACTGCTTACTTCGAGTTCGGATAATGATCAATCAATCTACACTTGACTATCACGTTACTTACTTTAACACGTTCTCTAGGTTAACTACTTAAAACCCTAACCTTCTACTCTGACCCCAACGGACCTAACACGATCCCAAACTGAAGCATATTCTGAGACCCTAACCCTTATATGGTCATGCACGTGATCGACACAGATTTTTGCCGATATCTTGCCACGTAAAGGGAGCATTTTATAACCCTATGTCTGATGTTCAGAACGAGCGTTCAAAAATACATTGATTCAAGTTCAACTGTCGGGGGTGTGAAGTAAAAACATACTTCACAGCCTTAACTTTTAAACTTGTTGTTATAAAATGGCAAATTTTCTAAAATAACAGAGATTCCTTCGTTGGTGGGGTGAAGTTGTGCCATCCTGAAGACTTGAAGAGATTGTTTGTTCATATTTGCGGTGTGAAAATTGTTAATATCTAACCAAACCTTCTTGTGATTGGTTGCTTTGCTTCAGTTACCATTTAGAGGATGTTGATTGGTTGATTTTATCATTACGAGTAGTGCAAGGCCGTAGATTTAACAAGTTTTATGGAATCTAAATTCTATTAAACTTGCTAAATTTAAATATGGGTTTCAGTGGTTACAGTTTTCAAAAGTTGCATTTAGGAGATTCAATATTTCACCTGGTTAACCCTCTCTACTTCAGCCTTTGTACCGACCTCATATCCAAAATCTAAGGCTTCATGTCTTGTTTTGAATTTAAAACACTAGTTCTTGAGCGATTTAACAACAGTTTTGTTATGATTAGGTCTGCTTTATCATCATCATTTTATTGAACAGCCTCGTATTTTGTTTATGTTTCAAGGACCCCCTCAAAGCTCCAGTTATTTGTTTTATAGTAGAAAGCTCACGGATTGAGTCAGTAATTATTTATTCTAAGGCTCTTCATATTATCTTTTATATGACTTAACTAAAATAGAGTTATTGGTTAATGGCTCCAGCTCTTTCTTTCTCCCTTCACCTAAACGTTTTGCATCACCTTTTATTTTGGACTTTACATTTTTATATAGATTTGAAAACTTTTGTTAGAATTATAATTTACATGTGACTAACTTTTGTAGTTACCATGGTTATTTTGTCGGTACCGGAGGTTCTATCAAAGAAGCGGCAAGGAGGAGAGCTAATGGACGATGAAATTGAGTATTTTGTGGAATGTGTCTGCAATAAAGAAATTGACAGAAGTCAGGTGACGGAGATATTTATGTTAAACACGTTATTCTTTATGGGTGAAAGTTCTGGTAGTGATAATTTTAACAATGTTAATATGTATATACATACAACTCAATCAAATTTGATTTAAATATTTTAAAGCTTTCAAAACCTTTTGATCTCTCTAATTTGTAATCTCTCTTAATAAGTAATATTTAATCTCTAATTCACCAGATTGGGGCGATGCTAATGGCGTTCTGTCTAAGAGGACTGTCAAGAAAGGAAACTGTGACTCTAACCAAGGCAATGATGAACAGCGGAACAGTCCAACAGTGGGACCCCTCCTGGAAGATGGTGGATAAGCACAGCACTGGCGGGGTGGGAGATAAAGTTACTTTTCCACTAGTGGCTGCGGTTCCACTGTTTGGGCTGAAGATGCCCATGGTGGCTGGGAGAGGATTGGGACACACTGGGGGAACTGCTGATAAACTTGAGGCTATCCCAGGTAGTTATAGCTGGGGACCCCAGTAACAGATGTACTGCAAGTGTGATACTGTACTGGTTTAGTTTACAGATTAAGATTTATTATTATTTACTAATAACAGGTTTCAAGATATCCCTGACTGAAGAGCACATGATGAGGACACTGAGAGATGTGGGATGCTATATTACTACCCAGTTTGGGAATATTGCTCCTGCTGATCAGGTTTATTAATCCCTAATAACTTAACTAATAACTTATCAATGTAAATTTTATCTACCTAACAATTAGGTTTCAGCTTTATCACATTCACTAATATAATCACATTTATTAATATAATCACATTCATTAATATCACATTCATTAATATAACTATTCATTAATATAACTAATCCACACCCAAGACGCTTTACTCGATAAGAGATGTTACCTCGACTGTTTGCTACGCTCCTTTGGTTTGCTCCAGTATTATGAGTAAAAAGCTTGCGGAGGGAATAGGAAGTCTTGTATTGGATGTAAAGGTTAGTTAAAGAATATTATATCAATTAGGTGACCTCTGAGTTAGCCTGGAATCTTTAATTCCAGTTATTAAAGGACCAGCACAGCAATGGAATGGGCTTGCTATCAGAGCTTGTTTTTCCATAGTATTCCTGCTTTCCAACAACCCCTACTCATATGGTCGGCTGGGCCCGAGATATCTTAACTTAATTCGAGTTCTTAGACCCTAAATAACATACATACATGCCACATGTCCCCTAAATAACACTTTCTCACCACTTTTACATTTAACCACGCCCTTTTTTTATCTATAACTCGCCCTTTCTTACCTAAAACTCACCCTTTCTTACCTAAAACTCACCCTTTCTTACCTAAAACTCACCCTTTCTTACCTAAAACTCACCCTTCTTACCTAAAACTCGCCCTTCCTTACCTAAAACTTGCTCTTTTTGACCTAAAACTCGCCCCATTTGACCTAAAACTCGCTTTTTCTTACCTAAAACTAGCTCTTTCTTACTTAAAAGTCGCCCTTTTTTACTTAAAACTCACCCTTTTTTACTTAAAACTCGCTCTAAATTCCACATTACCAGTCAGGAGTAGCGTCAACAACAGAAAGTCACGAACAGGCTGAGTGGCTAGCCCGCATGATGGTGGATATTGGACACGGTATGGGAGTTAACACTACAGCAGTGCTGACGGAGATGCACACTCCTATAGGCTACACTATCGGCAACTCCCTGGAGGTGTGTGTGTGTGTGTGTGTGTGTGTGTGTGTGTGTGTGTGTGTGTGTGTGTGTGTGTGTGTGTGTGTGTGTGTGTGTGTGTGTGTGTGTGTGTGTGTGTGTGTGTGTGTGTGTGTGTGTGTGTGTGTGTGTGTGTGTGTGTGTGTGTGTGTGTGTGTGTGTGTGTGTGTGTGTGTGTGTGTGTGTGTGTGTGTGTGTGTGTGTGTGTGTGTGTGTGTGTGTGTGTGTGTGTGTGTGTGTGTGTGTGTGTGTGTGTGTGTGTGTGTGTGTGTGTGTGTGTGTGTGTGTGTGTGTGTGTGTGTGTGTGTGTGTGTGTGTGTGTGTGTGTGTGTGTGTGTGTGTGTGTGTGTGTGTGTGTGTGTGTGTGTGTGTGTGTGTGTGTGTGTGTGTGTGTGTGTGTGTGTGTGTGTGTGTGTGTGTGTGTGTGTGTGTGTGTGTGTGTGTGTGTGTGTGTGTGTGTGTGGGTTTCTGTGGGTTTCTGTGGGTTTCTGTGGGCCAGTGCGGGGCTCAATAAGATAATGTTATTGACGATGTTATTTCAGATAATAGAGTCGCTGGAGTGTATGAAAGGGAACGGGCCGGCTGATTTGAATAAGATAGTAGCAGTACAGGGAGGTATGCTTCTTTATGATGGGGGTATTGCCGAGACACTGGAACAGGGAGAGGAGATGATACTGAAGACTTTTAGAAATGGAACTGCTCTGGATAAGTTCCTGGAGATACTGGGGAACCAAGGTTAGTGTAACACTCTGTTTAACTGATTAAAACTACAACAATAGCTTTAGTTCTTCAGATATGTTCATTCCTAGCAGTACATCATCAGTCCATCTCTTGCAAAGTAATATGTAATTATCTGTATTCTAGAATTATGTTAAGTAATATGTATGTAATTATAATTTAGGGGTGGAGAAGGAAACGTTGGAATTGCTAAGAACTGGGAAGTACGAGGAGGTATTTGCAAAACCAACATACATCCAAAGAATTTTTGCTCATCAGTCAGGTACTGGTATTGTTACTATCTTACTATGTTAGTTACGAACATTATATAAATGATGGTCTGATGTCTGTTGCTAGTCTGAGATTCTGCTTTGTTGCATGTTTGAAGCACTCTTCAAGTCTATAGCTGAAGAGGTGCCGATGAATCATAGCTATTAATACTTTAATAGAAACTGCTGCCTTTCACAAGAGTTGGAATTATCTTATCGGACTTTATTCGGTTGTACATTTCATGACCGCTAGAGAGTAGAGATTTCACATAATGTCAGCTCCAATTGAAATCCGGCTAACATATTACTGTCAGAGACATTTGCGCTCATAGATGTGGCCGCCCGAAATTATGTTCGTCCAAGCAAAGTCCAATAAAATAAGTTAGAATGTTTAGGATACATTGAGAAGGAAGATGCGATGGCACTAAGTTAGAATGTTCAGGATATATTGAGAAGGTAGATGCGATGGCACTAAGTTAGAATGTTTAGGATACATTGAGAAGGTAGATGCGATGGCACTATTAACGGGTCGTTCACATATTACGTAATCAGCCGAGGGGGGAGGGGGTTTCCAAATGCTTACGGTTGATTACGGGGGGGGGGGGGGGGGGGGGGTTTCGGCCGTTGATTACGATTAAAGTCCGATAAAATAAGTTAGAATTGTTCAGGATACATTGAGAAGGAAGATGCGATGGCACTAAGTTAGAATGTTCAGGATATATTGAGAGGGTAGATGCGATGGCACTAAGTTAAAATGTTCAGGATACATTGAGAAGGTAGATGCGATGGCACTATTAAGGGGTCGTTCACATATTACGTAATCAGCCGAGGGGGGAGGGGGTTTCCAAATGCTTACGGTTGATTACGGGGGGGGGGGGGGGGGGTTTCGGCCGTTGATTACGTAATCAAAATTTTCTTTTTTACCCTCTAGAATAATAACAATTTGACAATATTTTAATTCAAATTCCACTCAATTTCACTCTGATAGTGATAAAATTTAGAAATTGATCGAATATCCGGCTATAATAGTAAGTAGTTTAGAAGGTGCTTGGCCGGATATCATGACAATGATTTCGGATCATCATGATAGCATGATCAGGGTAGCATGAAACGTAGAGAAAAGTGTTTTCTAGGAAAAAAGTCAAGGGGGGGGGGGGGGGGGGGGGGGGTCAGGCCATGATTACGTAATATTGCTGTCAGGAGGGGGGGGGGGTTGGGTCTTGATTACGGTTGATTACGGAAGGGGGGAGGGGGGTAAAAATTGCTAAAATATTGATTACGTAATATTGAACGACCCCTAAGTTAGAATGTTCAGGATATATTGAGAAGGTAGATGCGATGGCACTAAGTTAGAATGTTCAGGATATATTGAGAAGGTAGATGCGATGGCACTAAGTTAAAATTTTCAGGATATATTGAGAAGGTAGATGCGATGGCACTAAGTTAGAATGTTCAGGATACATTGAGAAGGTAGATGCGATGGCACTGGGTACAGCTACTGTTTTGCTGGGTGGAGGAAGGCAGCTAGCTGGGGATAAGATAGACTTTGCTGTAGGGATAAAGCTTCTCCGCACCAAAGGGGATAAGGTGAGTAGGTAGTAGGTACCCACTCTACCGTGGGTAGAGTTTGAAAGAAATTCAAATTTAAAATATATAGCGGTCCTTTTACTCTTTTAGCGATAAATAATCGACAAGTAACGAATAATGAGTTGGAACGAAACGAAATCATTACTATTCAAATTTTACTACTACTATAGTTACTATAGTTACCAATAACAATTTACTAACTTGCAATCCTCTCCACTGATTAGGTCGAAAACGGAGACATTCTAGCGGAAGTTCATCACAACGGACAACTGACCACGATGTTGCAAACTAGGATTAAAGAGGCTTTTCTTATTGGTGAAAACGATGCTCCCATCAGGAGAGTGCTATCTATCGTAAGTGGGCTTCCTTTTATGATCATATTATGATGTATTACATTTTGTGGATTATTCACGGTCATTTTTTAAAAGATGGCCATCTTAAAGAGAAATTAGACCCTGTCTGTTTCAGGTGAAGCCAAATGCTCCAACAGTGGATTATGAGGTTTATAGAAGTCAGCATTGAGTGCAGAAATATTGGAAAGAATAAAACGTGATTGTATATTTCCGTACAAAGACTTCTGATATCACTGCCCAACAGAGAATATGTTGAATTATAATTAAAATTATGAAACCGAGACACCTTAAAAGGATAGTAGTATAGAGTAATTTTATTAGTTTAAACTGCATGAATCCAAATTCCTGACTTTGCTAGGAAAAATCAAAACTGTTGACAGTGATTGCATTTATTACATTTTATTTTGATGATAAATTTTACCTTGGATGATTTTTTAAGAAAAAACACATAAAACAAGTAAATTGTCATTTGTGCTTAAAGTTAACGTTTGGAAGAAATTAATATCAGCGACATTACATTATATATCTGAACAAAAACAATTTAACAAAAATAAGCAAGAGGTGAAATTTCAAAAGAAACCCTGCATTTGAAAATTTATTAACTCAGCAAAAAAACTTCGATCACTGCATTTACTGGAATTTTGAAAAGTACGCAATATCACAACTATTTTGTTTAATTAAATCTGAAGATTAAAAGTCAAAACTTTCCGTCCAAATCAGAGTTGAAAAATACGTGAGATAATTTTTAAATACGCCGTATTTTGCGTATTTTTGCTTAGAAATGAAATACGTCAAAAATACGTTAAAATACGTTTTCCTATTTTTCTTGAAATTTCATTCAAAGACTAAAGTTATGTCATTCGTTTGCATTTTTTTCAGACACATTTCTATTTAAGTTTAACTTCAACTGCACGTGCCCAGTACTCTGAAGTCATATGCGAGGTGAAAAACGACAGAGCTACGCGAGTTTTAATAAAATCGTAAATTTATATAAAGCAATAGGTGGTATGACACGGTGACGCGTGACACAAGCATCAGCGAAAACTGGTGTGACGAAGCAGACGTTAAAGCAGAAAGAGACAGTTATGAGTTCAAAGTTTTCTTCTACTTCCTTACTGAGCCTAGCATCACTGAATGCAAAAGGGCTCTCTAAGACGGAGAAACAGGAAGAACTCGGAACGGATTGTTTTGAATATAGTGTTGATATCTTGTGCGTTCAAGAGACAAAAGTCAAAAATCATTCCACTAGATATCTCCGAAACAATTACAAATTGATCATGATGGAGCAAAATCAAGGACGACATGGTGGACTAGGTTTCATCATAAGTCCTAGATTACTACCTTATGTCACAGACTATCAGTATACCTCAGACCGGGTTTCCTATCTTAATGTCGTCATTCCTTCTAATCTCTCATCCCATCCTAAAAATATCAGAATTGTTAACGGTTATGGCCCGACTAATCCTAAAGCAGAAGGAAACCCTGCCCTTCTTAGAAAGTTCTACAGAGAACTCACCCATGCTATTTCAGTTCCTGCATCTCATGAATTGTTTGTTTGTGGTGATCTCAACAGTAAGTTGGGAACCTTATCTCCTTTGGACTATCAGTATGGTGTAACAGAGTATATGGGCAAGTTTGGAATGGGTACAAGGAATTTCAACGGTGAACATTTATTAAACTTCATGTGCTTAAACAAACTGTTTGCTACCAATACCTATTTTGATCATCCTTGTAGACATCGAACTACTTTCTCTATGTGTATTTCTGCCAAAGGTCGCCCTAAAGGTAGCAAACTTACTCGTCCAGTCTTTGCCCAATTAGATTATATTCTGTGCAGAACACGCAGCAGATTCATGTTCCAAGATTGTAGAGCATATGGCGGTCTTGCTACTAACTCAGACCACAGACTCGTTGCTTGTAAGATCAAACTAGCCCCCTACTACAAAATCTTTCCTACAAAAAAGATAAGTTCAGTAGTTAAGAGATATAACAACTCCCTGCTTACCACTGACCTTCCCACCAAAGTCAAATACCAACTTTCAGTCGAACAGAAAGTCAACAACTCTCAGGTAACATCAAATCCTAATGATGATCTCACTAACCTGATGGATGTCCTTAAGACAACTGCTGATGAAGTAATCGGGACACTACCACGCTCCAGAAACCGTAACTTCAGTAGTGACTCAACTGTTGAAGCCCTTGTAAAAGAGAGACAAACCCTGCAAGCTGCACTTAACTGTAACAACCAAGTTGCTGACAGAACTCAAGTCCGTACAAGGATCAACAGGTTACAGAAAGACATCCGTAAGCATCTCAAGAACCTTGCTGACACACGTGCCGATGACATCGCTCGAACCATCATGTCAACAGATGACACAAGGCAGATGTTTGAAGCTGTGCGTACTCTAGCTGACACTAAGCCCAAATCTACTATCAGTGTCCACAATGAAGAAGGTAACTTTGTTGCCACAGATGCTGGTAAAGCTCAAGTGATCAGAGACTACTACGAAAAGCAGTTCACGTGTGAGGATGAACCACTTCAAGCATTTATAGGGGATGGACGCTGCCTAGACATACCCATCACATGTGATGAAGTAAAGAAAGCCGCCCAATCTCTCAAGAACAACAAAGCCACTGGTCCAGATAAAGTCTACAACGAGTGGTTGAAAAATGCTGGTACAAAATTCTGGTCAAAATATGCCGAGATCATCAATAGCGCATTGGAGACCAATTCATTTCCTGATGTTATAGGTGAAGCCATCATCACCCCCTTACCGAAACCTCGCAAACCAGCTGGTCCTGTCACTAGTCTACGACCTCTATGTCTATCAAATGGTGCTCGTAAGATATTATCCATGATTGTACTGAAGAGAATTGAAGACAAAGTTGATGCTTTCACTGGTAGCACGCAGGCGGGGTACAAACATGGTAGAAGTTGTGGTGATCTAGTGTGGGCTGAGCGGATGTTGATATCGGTTGTCACGCGTAAACACTTCCAGTATCACAAGATGGGCATAGATATGTCTCGAGCATTTGACACAATCAAACGCCAGACTATACTTGACCTTCTTGTCAAAGCTGGATGCACAGACGTCGACCTCAGGCTAGTAAGACTCCTCTTAACCAACACCATGCTCAAGGTCAGAGTGGAAGGAGAACTATCTGCTGTATTCGAGAGTCTTCTTGGGTCCTTTCAAGGTGACAGTCTCTCCGGCAAGCTTTTCACTCTTGTCCTAGCAGGAGCTCTTATAGAACTACGCCAACGACCAGCAGAGTCTCCCCCACACATACCTAATCCCCCTGTTTCAAAAGAAGGTATGCCACTGGAGTCAGCGTATTCAGATGATTGTAACTTCATGAACGTGGAAAAAGAATCCTTAGAAGCTATCCTACCAATAGCTAAGGAAGTCTTCAAGGAGTTTAACCTGTTCATTAACACAGAGAAAACAGAATTTACCCATGTTTTCCTCGCTCCTGTTGGAGAAACAATCCCTGGTCGTGATGATACCATGTTACGTGGAAATGAAGATTGGCGGAAGAGTAAGATTCTTGGGTCATTGTTGTGTAGTGAAAGTGATATAGCTGCTCGATGCATTGCTGGGAACAATGCCTTCTATAAGTTCACCAAGATCTGGTCTCAGCAGAATATCTCCGTTACCAGAAAGATAGCAGTATATGAAGCCCAAATTGTATCAATCATCATGTACAATTGCAGTAGTTGGTGTCCTACTGCAAAGTCACTAGAAAAACTAGACATTTGCCATAGAAAACACCTTAGATCATTACTGAACATTTATTGGCCTCATGGAACAATATCCAATGCAAACTTATACCTAAGATGTAACTCAGTTAAGCTATCAGATCGTGTCCCTAAAGCAAGGTGGAAGCTCCTAGGTCATATCTTGCGTAGTGCTGATGACTCCCCCGCTGCATTAGCGTTAAAGTTTGCTGTCACAACAAACTGTAAAGGGCGCGTCGGTGCGCATCGTAAGAATTTGTTCAAGATTATTGTGAATGATTTGACCCGTAGAGGTTTAAAACTTAACTCTTTGAATGATCTTAATAAGCTTAAGATATTAGCCGATGATAGAGTTGCTTGGAGAAACAAATTTTAACTCTAGCTGTCTTGATCTGTACTGATCACCATTTTAGGATGACTTGATTTCTTTTAGGGGTTTTGAATATTTTAATGGTGTAAACAGTTTCTTAATAATAGTACTTATTACTTTATTGGAGCTATCAATGGTACAATAACACTTGTTACGTGATTTTTGATATTTTATAAAATTCGTAAAATACGTATTTTTCAACTCTGGTCCTAATCAATCACTGTTCGTTCTTCAAGCTGAAATGTATGTTGTTCTATTAAATTCAGTGAATCTGGTTCTTATATTGCAGCTATCTCTTGTCTCACGTTTCCGGGCCGAGCCATGCCCATTTGACGCCCGGGCGGGTCCACACACATTGCACCTGTCTGACTAGGCAACGTATAATGGCCATTTATTTCTATATCTTCATTTTGCACCTCCGTCCGCTGCCTGCTTTTCTTCAATAATATCACCAGTAGAACCACCGCTATGACTGAACTGATTATACCCAAAACCAAAAATAAATTACACAAACCGTTGAATCCTTCATTTTTGTTTTTATTAGTATTAACCCGACTCGACCTGATCCGCACGCAGAGTTGAGGTTTTGCGTCCTCAGAACAAATCAAGGTTTGCGTTGATGTGTAGTTAAGAAGTTTAACTCCGTAACCCTGGTCGCACTGTATCTCTACTTGGTATCCTGGAAGAACAAAGGGAAGCTCCCCTTTGTTCTTCACTACTCCATGTGGGGTGAAGAACTGGGAAAGGGGGCAAGACATTCCGTTTTGCTGATAGATTTCAGGATTCCTAAATGATATCCCAGAAAGTGAGTCCGCATTAACCTCCTTCCCTGTGAACAAAATGGAAATGCCGTCTATACCCTCCCTAACACCAGATATCGAGTAGATTGAGTGCATGTCCGTCTCAGTCCCGTGTAAACTTGCTGGTTCAGATTTTATGAACATCAACTGAGGATCGTTCTTCTTTGGTAGATTTGTTAGAATTTGGTGACATTTTGACAAAATTGCCTTTGCAAATCCCTCCTTGTCAACATCAACATCCATACACAAGTGTAACTCGTCTGCTGGAGAGATCTGATAAAACTCGAATCCCTTGACGGTAAAGCTTTGATGTTCTGTCTCTCGCAGAACCCACCTTGTACCTAAAAGTAATAAGTATCGGTGCTCATTTTAAAATCATTCCTTTTATTTTTGGTATGTTTTCTGATTTTAGTTGAATAATTTTCATTTAAAACTTCAGTTTTGATCTGACACATATGTTAGATTATAAAGATCTTTCTAATTTCTGATTTCTAATGTTTTACCTTCTGTGCAGGGTCTCCAGATCAAACGGTAGCTGACATCATCCTCTTCAGTTTTTAGTGATTTTCCTTTCGTTGAACAAATAATCTGATGATTTGCTTTTTCAATGAGAAACCCTATCCCAGAGTGACTGAGGGACACTATATCCGGTAAACTAGCCCCTATAGTAGTTGTCACTGTTCGTTCCATACAGCGCTTATAAAGAACTACAGATACTCCTTTCTCAAACAGACGGCTGTCCAGGAATGACATGCTATTGTTAAATAAAGTGCAAGTACTCTCCATGATATCAAAAAAGAGAGCATAGCACTCAAGGATGTATTCGCAATACAGCCAACATTGGAGTGCCCCGGTTGTAGTACAGCTGTCAAAGTTACCCTCGTCAGGATCTACTACCCAGTCGTTATCAATGCATTCCGTGACGATCTTATCTCTCTTCTGGTTAGAGATAAAATTTTCTTTAGTATTGGATGAACTGTTGATAGACTGTTGGTTGGGGGTCGAAGTATTTGTTTGTAGAGACTGGGGATAAGAGGTGTTCGTCCTAGATTGAACTGCGACCACTGTCATATCCATAATGAAAATAACTAGTAGTCCAGTCAACATGACTGTTAAAAATGGTATATTATTAGATAAAAAGGAACCAGGAATGTGAGTTTAAATATGGTGGGTTTCGAGAGCAAAAAATAACTTTGCACATTTTACCAGCGACAACGCCGGGTGAGAAATGTGTGCGCGTACGCAAGCTACTATATTTTTTAAAAAACACCTCGTTCGCTGACCCATGTCCTTAACTATTCTTTGTCGATGACATGGACACGTACTTGAGTCATGAATCGGGAAATAATAGCAATATGAGAGCAATACAAACATCGTGAGCTATTGAGGACACCAGTCAGCGATCACTACAATCAGCTCCGATTTCATTAAGTCACCAGCTGAGCAATTGTTCCTCCACATAAGAACTTGCATACCCTTGATCAACCCTTTAAAAGGTCAGTAAATGCTGAGATGGAAAGGACTGATAAACAGTTAATAACTGTTAATCGCGTCAGTAAAAGCCATGTGATAAGGTATTTTGATTACTTATTTTTCTGACAGTGACATGTCGATCTTGAGGAAAAATTAAACCTTGCCTCATGTTTCAGGTGAAGTAAAATGCTCCAACGGTCATAACGAGGTCTTTATGAGTCAGAATTGTATGCACAAATATTGGAAATAACGTTATAATATTTCTCCGGACAAATTAAAAACTTTTTATATCGCTAACATTTATCTGATATAAGTTTATTACAACATATAAGAAACAAAAAGAGACCCTTGGGCCTAATTTAATTCTTAAAATATTGCTGGTTCAAAATAATTAGCGAAATTTTCAATTTCATCTAAAAACTCACAATAAACTCACACACGAAAACTTAAATGGCTCAAATATTTTACCTTTTCTCATGGATCATAGAATACATTTGAAAAATCAATTTTAACGTATGTTTTCATGAAAATATAAGAGACTTGCATATATCTATATAAGGCTTAATGTTGTCTTATTGTTGCACCGGTATTTGTTCTAGTTGCCCTATATAATATGTACATAATCTTATTCGTACATATTCAACTATTTACAATCTTTACTGAAATGCAACTGTATAAATAGCTGATATTTATATAACTATAAGACCTTAATTAGTCAATAGTCGCGACTATCGAAATTCATGGGAGTTCAAAGGCCTGCAGTAGTGGCCGTATGGAGGTTATATAGAGGCCGTGTAGAGGCCAAATTTAATCTCCCAATATTCTGTAAACTGAACCAGTTACACAAATCAAAAGATGCGTCTCAAAGAGACGAACACATTTTTTTGGGCCAATAGTTCTGTCGGAATCAATTGGCACAATATAGAAACTATTTGTGCAAATTAAATCCGATTTGAAAATAGTTACTTCCCTATTTGTAACTCATCAATCACTTCGTTGACAGTTCTTCCACCACCGACTCCTTCTTCTTTAATTCCTGTTGTGCCACGATCTCCTTTCTTTTATCATCAGCCTCACAAAAGGTTTGTATAGCAGAACTGAGGTCCTCGCCTGCAATCAGATCGTCCATCTTCAACAGAACCACAATCTTGGGCAGGAAGAAACACAGCAGGAAGCTCTGTGAGATGGAAAAGAACACAATTGCTCTCAACATGGACTTTATAGCAGGCTCTGAAACAGAATACCCACTGAGGAACATGAGGCATATAACCACGATCATCAGGCAGGTGGTGAAGATAGTGGTGGTTTCTTTGAAGTTGTGAGGGAACAGCCTCATTTTGTACGCTATAAGAAGGGTGGCAGCTAGGAACACACATGGGATGATGAAGGGGTAACAGGTGGCTAGGAAGTTGGCCGGGGTGCAGACTTTGTGGATACTGATGTGAGGATCCAGTGCTTCCTGGTACTCCCACCCCTTGTGCATTATAGAGACCATGGTCAGAAGAGCGGTCACCACCATCATCACCACCAGAATGACAAACTGAGCTGGTCGAGTGAGGAGTTTGAAGATAAAGGGGCGTCTGAGGTCGAAGTTAGCTGCTGTCATGAAGATCTTGTAGATCTTAAGAGAGCGGTAGAAGAGGTTGGTGCAGACACAGCACACGAAGAGAGCACACATGTAGAACTCTGCGTTGCAGGTTAGAGTGGAAGGTTCCAGAAGAGTTAACACCGTGAGGATATCTCCCAGGCACAGAGAAGAGAGGAATAGGTAGCAGAAAACGTGATCAGATGCTTTTATCACAGGCCTGTCCTTGTGAACGAATATGAACACTGCTGTGGATACTGTAATCACCACGGCAATCACACTTAGACACAGCCCCAGAACAAACTGGGGAGACTTGAGAGAGATGAAGTTCTTGAGGACGGGTTTACATGCTGTGTTACCCTCCGCAGCATATTCATTATCCTCACATTCAGTACACTGTTTTGAGTTCACCTCTGACGATACAGTGGATGCAGTGCACGGATTGCAGGTCCAGCAGCTAGTGAGCCCAGAGTAATGAGACATGAGAGCAATGTGTCTCCCTGCAGGGCAGTCAGGGGCACAGGGCTCACTTCCTCCTGTCTCTCCCACGTTATCTTTTAGGGTGGGGAAAAGACTCTGTACTGAGAGAGAGTGGTTGTAGAACACAACCCCTCTCTTCACCTCTTCACTGCTGGTGATTCTCCTGCGGTATTCTATCACCTCGTATCCTTTCGCAAGTGTGCTGTTCACGAACCTGATGTTGTTGACAGAGTAATCATCGTATATTTGCACTGCGTGTATGCCTGATTCCACTCTTGCAAAGAGTTTCTTTCTCAGATCGAATATGTTTATATCTCCCTCCATTTCCGGCAGTACTACCTCCAAGTTATTTATTAAGAGCTGTGTTGCGGTGGCAACGAAACTCATCCAACTTGTAAAAGACTTTTTGTTTTCACAAACAGAAGCCATGTCCTTGTCAGGGTGATCAAAATTGCATTTTCTTATTTCGTTGTAGTGCTGAGATAGACTATCATCGGCTGCTTTAGCTCGATCGTAGAGCAAACCTCCTTCAAGCTGAGAAAGTTGTAAGTACTGCGCAGTATGCTATTTTTTGTTTAAATCATCCATTTTTCTTTTGCGTGCAGACAATTTTATTTTAGATTTGATCTATTTATGTTTCATAATCATAATTATGTAATAAGATATTATATTCGTAAACATTGAGCAAACCTGTAGCCTGCGGAGATCTGCGTTCTGCACTTCTGATCTTAGGTAAATGAAAATCTCATTTTCCACATCTGCCAATATCTCATCGTCCAGGATTTTTCTCGAAACCTCGCGGTAGTGGTCCCTTGAGACGGTATAACCGAATATGTACGTCTTGTTTTTCCATTTTCTAGTGTGTATTGTCTCGTTTAGGAATGGGATTACATGGTGTTCGTTCCCGTTGAAAAGCAAAAGTTGTATCGGCGCTTCTGGCACTGAAACATAAACTGGATAATCAATCGAATTCTTGATCAAAGAATAATTTACGATTACTTTTAATTTAAGTTGTAGTCGTTTTTAATTTCAAAATACATCAAGATATTTGTGCCACAACCCACAGCTTTACCCTTAGAATTGATGTCGTATTCCTCAAACTCATCTTTGATTTTGAAATTCTCATTGTCATATTTAGTAGCTTTGTGATCTTTAGTATCTTTTTTTCCATCGAACTTTACGTACCTTCCTCCACTTTTCTGAATGTGGAAAATTTTAGACTTTGCATAAAGATGTTAAATCTGGATTAGAATATTATTTATGAGTGATCGCATAGTTGCAATGTTTTCTTGGGTAAATTGCTATTGATCCCGCGTTTGATGCGACAAAAAAAAGGTTCTCATCAGGAAGTCAGTTGAATTTTTTTCAAAAATTTTTCCATTTCGAACTTTTTGTCCAGAATATGACAACTTTTAATTTCAGTCAATTTCAATAGCTATCATTAGATTAAACTATATCGTTGAATCAATGAAAACCAGTTATTATAAAAATTTAACGATCTAAATTGTAAATATCACATTATGGCATGATCACTATCTTGATCTACTTTTTTTGCCCATGCAGTTGATCTTACAAGGGAAAAACAAAGCAATCTCTATCTAAATAGAGGTTATTTTTAACGAGAAACATTGGGCAAATGAATCTACAACAATACGTTTTATCGAGAACATCATAGTGCCGTATGTTAACAACGAAAAGGTTCTCCTTGGTCTGCCGGAGGCACAGAAAACTTTTCTAGTATATGATATTTTCAAGGGTCACTTGACGGAAAAATTCAACCAAAATATGGCACTCAACAACATAGTTCATGAGCTAGTCCCCGCCAACATGACAAACTTGTTTCACATTTCAACCTCTAGATATTACGGTAAATCGTGTTGCCAAGAACATTGTCCGACGTTGTTATAGTTCATATAACTCAGGGGAGGTAATGAAACAGATAAGTGCTGGGAAAGCTCCACGTGATGTTAAGTTTAACCTAAAGTTGTCTAAGATAAAACCAATTCACGCCGAATTGCTTATAAAAGTTTACACTGAAATGCAGGACCGAGGTAGTTTGATTTTAAAAAAGGTTTCCAAAAAGCGGGTATTACTGATGCTTTAAGCGCCATGGAATATTTAATGCACGAAAACCCATTTGATGAAGATGATATGTGATATTAGACAATAATCATGTACATATATTTTAACATGTTTTCTGATTAAAGACTGCTTTTCTTGCTTACTGTATGAAAAATGGGTTTAAAAATTATTTGCTAAAATTTAAAAAAGTTTAAGAAAAGATGAAAAAATTCGGATTTTTGATGGTTTTGATTGCCTTCTAGCGTTCATATTAATGTCCGTTCATAATTATGTCCGTTCAAGTATTGTCCGTCCAAATAAGGTCCGATAAGGTATATCCTTCCTTTGCAAGTACCGGTTTTATGTTTATTATTTTGATTATCCTACTGTTATAGTATAGAGATAAATGGCGGATCGACTTTCGTTAGCACAGAAAAAAGGGAAAATTCCTTTGACTTGAGAAGAAAGGCGTAGTGATGTCATGAATATTGAATCATATCAAACCTGCAAAACATAGTTTTGATAAACGTATCTTGCAACGCTTTCTGAACCAGTGTTATACCAGATATCCACGTATTTGGCCTCTAAAAACTTTAAAAGACTTATGATGCTCTGAGCTTCCATTTCCTCGGTCTCTATCAGCGACAGGTAGGTAGGGTATTGTTTCTGTGGAAATAGATTTATATTTAATAGTTATACTTAAAATTATACTTATAGTTAAGGACATTTTTGTTTTTGAAATTAAAATTGATTTCTAAGTGGCTAAAATCAAACCAACTAAAATTATTGAAGTAAAGAGTATAAACAGATTTTTATCCTTCATTATTTGCATTGATCAAACTCCAAACAAAAAAACAAACTGATACTAATTAAATTTGTGATCACCTTTTCAAGGAATGCATCCTCTGAGTAAATGTATCCAATAGTGGGAATGAAGAAAGAAGCTGGGGATCCAATAGAAGGTCGTACATTAACCGCCCAATCAGAAGCGAGGAAGCCAACCACTTTCTCGTTAAGAGCCACTCTGCTGCTGATCTGGTGAGCTAGGAATGGGGCGTGGCACCTGCAGTGGGAATGAAATGGAACTTTAAGAACTTTAGTATTATTATTATTAGTATTATTAGTATTATGTGGGATGGAAGTGCTTTAACCAAGTGTAGTCAAACTTGTTTTCTTAATGAAAAGCTCGAATAAGATTGTGAAGTAAAAAATTACAGAGTATAAAGTTATAAATATAAAATTCAAATAATAAATGTGAAATTATAAGATAAGAAATAAAACCCTGAGTAGATCTCATAGCCGATAGAGTAGTTGTCCACGCTAGTAAAGCCCTGCATCAAGTCTTGAAAGACGAGCGCTTTCTCTAAAGGGTATACATCTGATACTGTCAGATCACATTCTGTTTCCTCTTCATTCCTGCACGTGGTTAAGGTTACCTGGTTACCTGGTTACCTGGTTACCTGGTTACCTGGTTACCTGGTTACCTGGTTACCTGGTTACCTGGTTACCTGGTTACCTGGTTACCTGGTTACCTGGTTACCTGGTTACCTGGTTACCTGGTTACCTGGTTACCTGGTTACCTGGTTACCTGGTTACATGGTTACCTGGTTACCTGGTTACCTGGTTACCTGGTTACCTGGTTACCTGGTTACCTGGTTACCTGGTTACCTGGTTACCTGGTTACCTGGTTACCTGGTTACCTGGTTACCTGGTTACCTGGTTACCTGGTTACCTGGTTACCTGGTTACCTGGTTACCTGGTTACCTGGTTACCTGGTTACCTGGTTACCTGGTTACCTGGTTACCTGGTTACCTGGTTACCTGGTTACCTGGTTACCTGGTTACCTGGTTACCTGGTTACCTGGTTACCTGGTTACCTGGTTACCTGGTTACCTGGTTACCTGGTTACCTGGTTACCTGGTTACCTGGTTACCTGGTTACCTGGTTACCTGGTTAGGCTCGTGTGTTTTAAAGAAAGGTTCATCTTAGCTATGAAACAGCTTACTACTCTATTATGTGTCTTACGAAATATCTAATAAGAAATAGAACTTACAAGTTCCCGATATCGAAGATGCCGACGATAAGAAAGTCTCCATCCCTCCTGTCGAGGGCTTCAGAAGGTGTGAACACTGCTCTTGAGAGGGTTATCATGGTCCACACCACCAACAAGACTCGTGCAGCCTGCATTGAGGCTCCTGATTAGGTCCAGGTATTTGGTTCAGGTATTTGGTCCTGATTGGTCCAGAGTCCGTTAATTGAAGAGGTGAGTTGAGGGAACTTACTTTACTTTCTAAACCTGTGCTGTGTTGGATATTTTCATAATTATAGTCTGCTTAATATCCTGCTTAGTAGCCCCGGTAACAGCAAAATTAAAAAATTAGAGCTTGCACTAGAAACCAATAACAAAAACGGTTGCTGCAAATAAACTGATCGAGCAAACGTGATGCAAAATACCCCAGCTGATTTTTAAAGCTGACAAAAATGTTACTATACAAGAGCTTGCTTGGGTGAGGCACGTGATGCAAAATGAAATTACTCCAGAAAATCGTGATTTAGTCAGATAAGACTGGAGTGCTAAAGAATATACCGGGCAAATAGTTTACTTCAAGCACATACCTTTGTCTCGAATATTGGAGAACAAAACACCAGCAACCCTTTTCTCTACCACCTAATTCACTTGATGCATAGACAATTGATGCGACGAAGGAATATCGAATTGATCATAGAATTATAGGTTTATATTATTATCATGTCTTGATGTGATATATCACATATATATCACAATTGCTGAACATTATAATGTTCAGCAATTGTTAATTTCATAGAACCAGTTGGCAAGTTTCCATAAACGATATTTTATGATCGTCGCCGATAATCGCTTATTGAGCGCTCTTTCGGCGCTTTTTTTTTAAAAAACCGTTTACAATCGCTTTTTTTACGATTATAAACGGTTCAAAAAAAATCGCTTATAATCGACTATAATTGATGTCATAATTCAAAAAAGCGCTTTTTTGAATTTAAAAGCGCTTATAAGCGCTTTTAAGCGCTTACTAGCGTCGCTGAGCGATTTGAAAGCGGTTTTCCAGTAGGATTGGCGCCAAAAACGGGTGGATAAGCGGTTGGCCGGATAAGCGATTCGTAGGCGCTTTATTGAACCATTTATAAGCGATTATAAGCGCTTATAATTGGGGTTCAATTTAGCTGTTAGTAAAGCGCAAATAAAGCGCTTATAAGCGCTTTTAAAATTGAGTCAGGAAAACGCTATATTACATCTTATAACCGCTTATAATCGATTATAAGCGTTTTTTTAGAAATCGCTTATTACGGCTAATTCATCGCTATTTCACCGCTTTTACCGCTTTTCCTATCATCCATGGCCAGGTGAGCAGGAATTAAAAAGCGCTTATAAGCGCTTTTTCGATGCTGCCCCTATCCTGGTCGGAACGGGGTAGTGCCCGGAATTTAAAAGCGCTAATAAGCGATTTCTCAATTCCCCTTAACCTGGTCGGAACTTGCATGTGCTTTTCTGAGCAATCTGGGGTGCACCGGCAGAGTCAGGATTTAAAAGCGCTTATAGGCGCTTATGATCGCTTTTCTACCACTTATCCTATCACCCATGGCATGGGTTGGCAAGAATTATAAAGCGCTTATAAGCGTTTTTCAATGCTGCCCCTTAGCTGGTCGGAACGGGGGAGTGCCCGGAATTTAAAAGCGCTTATAAGCGATTTCTCAATTCCCCTTAACCTGGTCGGAACTGGAGAGTGCCCACTTGCATGTGCTTTTCTGAGCAACCTGGGGTGCACCGGCAGAGTCAAGATTTAAAAGCGCTTATAGGCGCTTAAGATCGCTTTTCTACCGCTTTTTCTATCACCCATGGCCTGGTTGGCAAGAATTATAAAGCGCTTATAAGCGTTTTTTCAATGCTGCCCCTAACCTGTTCGGAACGGGGGTGTGCCCGGAATTAAAAAGCGCTTATAAGCGCTTTTTCAATGGTGCCACTAACCTGGTCGGAAAGTGGGAGTGCCCGGAATTAAAAAGCGCTCTTAAGCTCTTTTTAAATGCTGCCCCTAACCTGGTCGGAACTGGAAATCAGAGTGCCCGCTTATAAGTGCTTTTCTGAGCAACCTGGGGTGCACCGGCAGAGTCAGGATTTAAAAGCGCTTATGATCGCTTTTCTACCGCTTTTCGTATCACCCCTGGTTGGCAGGAATTAGAAAGCGCTTATAAGCGCTTTTTCAATGCTGCCACTAAACTGGTCGGAACTGGGGAGTGCCCGGAATTAAAAAGCGCTCGTAAGCGCTTTTTAAATGCTGCCCCTAACCTGGTCGGAACTGGTTGGCAGGAATTAGAAAGCGCTTATAAGCGCTTTTTCAATGCTGCCACTAAACTGGTCGGAACTGGGGAGTGCCCGGAATTAAAAAGCGCTCGTAAGCGCTTTTTAAATGCTGCCCCTAACCTGGTCGGAACTCGAAATCAGAGTGCCCGCTTATAAGTGCTTTTCTGAGCAACCTGGGGTACACGGCAGAGTCAGGATTTAAAAGCGCTTATGATCGCTTTTCTACCGCTTTTCCTATCACCCATGGCCTAGTTGGCAAGAATTAGAAAGCGCTTATAAGCGCTTTTTCAATGCTGCCACTAAACTGGTCGGAACTGGGGAGTGCCCGGAATTAAAAAGCGCTCGTAAGCGCTTTTTAAATGCTGCCCCTAACCTGGTCGGAACTCGAAATCAGAGTGCCCGCTTATAAGTGCTTTTCTGAGCAACCTGGGGTACACGGCAGAGTCAGGATTTAAAAGCGCTTATGATCGCTTTTCTACCGCTTTTCCTATCACCCATGGCCTAGTTGGCAAGAATTAGAAAGCGCTTATAAGCGCTTTTTCAATGCTGCCACTAAACTGGTCGGAACTGGGGAGTGCCCGGAATTAAAAAGCGCTCGTAAGCGCTTTTTAAATGCTGCCCCTAACCTGGTCGGAACTCGAAATCAGAGTGCCCGCTTATAAGTGCTTTTCTGAGCAACCTGGGGTACACGGCAGAGTCAGGATTTAAAAGCGCTTATGATCGCTTTTCTACCGCTTTTCCTATCACCCATGGCCTAGTTGGCAAGAATTAGAAAGCGCTTATAAGCGCTTTTTCAATGCTGCCACTAACCTGGTCGGAACGGGGGATCGGAGTGCCTGGAATTAAAAAGCGCTCATTAGCGCTTTTTTAATGCTGCGCTTATAAGCGATTTCTCAATTCCCCTTAACCTGGTCAGAACTGGAAATCAGTGTGCCCGCTTATAGTTATAAGTGCTTTTCTGTGCAACCTGGGGTCACCGGCAGAATCAGGATTTAAAAGCGCTTATAGGCGCTTATGATCGCGTTTCTACCGCTTCTACTATTACTAAATCGCTCGCCCAAATTTTAAGGAAATTCTTGTGAAAAGGCCCTTTGGGGCATGAAAGTGATCTAAATCGGTGTATTTTTGGACGCTGATTCCGACTCACCCCCCATGACGTAGGGTTAAAATGCTTCCCTGGAGAGTTATGGGCAAAAAACCGTTTTGGTCACGTGACAGGCTAGTAAAATACGAATTCGATTGTTTATGGCCCGGGTTAGGGTTAGGCTTGTGGTAAGGGTTATGGTTAACTTCGGGGTTATGGTTAGGGTTAGGGTTGGGATTAGGATTTATGTAAAACCGTTTTGTACGGCTGCAAAACCATAAAAACCAAAGTCACGTAAAATTTTTGGGCGAGCGAATTAGTAAAAGCCGAGTTGGACTCCAATATATGGAACAAATATTTTACGAGTGTCACCCGTCAATTCTCGCAATCACATTCAACATTGCGCTTCGCTAGTTTGGTAAAAATTCACCACTAGACTGGGCCTTAGTACAGGCTCTTAGGGGCATTGTCTGCACGATACGCTAGGGACCCCAGATACACCTTACTAGACGTATTTTTGACCGTAGAATCGATTAAAAGTGGTTTCAAGATGATTAGACTGAGTTAGCGCGGTTAAAATCGCAAAAAACCGATTTTTGGGCCAAAAATAGGCCAAAAAACCATGTTTTTTGATAATTTGAGCAAGTTAATTTTGTTGGCATGTCGGCAAAACTTGCATGAAGATAGCTAAAAGACAGCTGCACAAGATGGTATAAAAATAAAACAAATCCCTCTATTTTAGCGCAGTTAAAATCCAAAAAAGTGGTAAAAACTTTAACTTTTTTGCTTGAAGTTTGAATAATTTTTTGCAGTTGTATTAAATCAACCCAAAAATAGTCACATCGTGTTTGCCTAAATTTTTCCTTTCCGAGAAGTACCCACTTCATATACTTTATCGAAGTTTGAATATTGTCACTCCGCAAGCGTTTTTGCCAAATTTTCGACGCGCACTACGCGCAAAAGCATTTAGTTGTTATCAATTGGCACCCGCGCGTTCATCATAAATTTCAAACAGCTATAACTCAGCGAGATTATGTCCGTTCTAGCTCATATTTTCACACCAAATAGAAAATAATGTGATCTTATTGCTGACAAAATATGAATATAATTACTCTATTTGCCTTAGAGTAATAGACTGTCAAAGTTTAAAACGCGCATTGGTATAGCACGTGACTAATAAGGCCAAATTTATACTTCTTAACATATTATCGATCCTTAGACATCATACTATTGTAGTATTGTGTCTAATTAGCGGTTAGGTCTCTAAACTCGTAGCAGAATACCCGTCTTTTTGCCCGTATAAAGAGCCTCTACTACCTCGCCAAGCTGTGAATTGAAAGATTGACATCGCATTGTGAGTCAATATTTTATTTTGTCTCATGTTAGTTCATGCTGTAAAATGGGCATATCAGCATGTTTACCGATTACCGCGCAATTGTTTAATATACTTATGACTATGTCACATTGTCACGACGCGACCTGAATGATACAAATAAACCCAATACCCATGGTTAACAGGTGATACTCTTAATTGACGGATGTTACTCGTCTAAAGTAGCGCGCGCCGCTTTCTTCTCGAAATGCCACGATGGCACGTGCTATGTCGGGCCAGACCAGTAACATGTAACATGCAATGGTCAAGTGATACTCTTAAAATATTTATCACAAATATAAGCAATTAGACCGGCGACAATTAAGTGTCTTGCATGCTTATAAATACGTTTTGCATGGTATAAATACGTCTTGTATGGTTATAAACACACAAACTTATGGTTATAACTATATATAATACAGCCATGAGGGGTGATTCGGAATTGAAGCGTCCTTGTAGGTTAATAACCTACCAGGGCGCGCGCTGAGTTGGACTCGTCGACGTTGACC